GGGGAGTATTTTGAGGGGGATTAATGGCAATGTATGTTTTACCGTAATAATCTTTTTTTATTTAAACATTCACCATACTTTTTCTTCATACCTTGTAGGTCTGAGATCATAATACAAAGTTTCTCCTTGCAAAGTTACCTCATTTCAGATAACATATCTGGATTAGAAGGGCAGTGGCTTTAATCTAATATCAATTTAAAATCAGCCTGTAAAACCAAATTAGCAAAATACCCAATGTAATATATTTCTGCATTTTCTGATTTCTATGTACCCATACATAACTTGGATAATTTTTGCTAAAGCATCCTCGAATACCTGAGAGGGAAGGGAATTTAAGACCAAAGTCATTTGCTAAACTGACTGCAGGGCTACTTTGCATGCCTTAGTCATACCAAAGCTTGTTGGGTGGGGTAATCATGGGTGAATCATTGGGTCGGTTGCTCCAATTGGTCCTCACACTAATGACTGCCCAGTTACTGCCCCTTCTCTTGCTGTTTTAAGTAGCCAACCGCAAAGAACAGGTGGGAACGTTGTTTTGGAATCTACTTGTGCAGGTGGTGTCTTAACCTGGTAATACCACAGTCTATGTGGCTTTCCAAGGCAGGATTTCTGCTGCAACAGCCCCATGACGTTTTTCTTTAAAGTACGGTCAATATGTACTCAAGAAAACCTAATAGGAACCCGGACGGCAGGGAGCCTAATGAACTTTAGCAAGGCAGGACTTGTATTCATGTTTTTCTCGTCTAAATTAGGAATTGGCATGGAGAGGGGGCTCCAAGCGACTGCCTTTCTCATGTTTCTCATGTAGAAACAGGAGATATTCACGGATTTCTGTTTTCCTCCCTCCCTCTCCCCCGGCCCTTCAGATTTATGAGGAATCCAAGATGAATTTGGAGCAGGAGAGGCCATTTGTCTGCAGTGCCCCAGGCTGCTCCCAGGTGAGTGTGGGGGTCCATTGTCCTACAAGGCACGCACCTACCTTCCAACAAGGAAGCAATTCTCCCTGGGCACTTATGCCTGCTGTGGGCTTCTGTTCTTCACCAAGATACTGTCAAAAAGTCCCTCTCACCATCATCATCTTCTTCATCACCATTATTATTTCCACTTTGAATAGTTGGAACTACTTCCCTCACAGCCCCTGAAATGCGTCAGTGTTGGCCATTTCCACTCAGAACTTTACCCTGGAAGTAAGCCAGGCCCATCCTGCCCACCAGATGTTCAGGTTTGTTATTTCAGAAAGGGAAGAAGGAAGGTGCCTGCTTTTACAGTAGCCACTTGAATACTGGGTGTTTGGATTACCAATGAAATAGTTCACCATCAGTGATTGAATTTTGTTTTGTTTTGTTGTCCCATTGGAGTAAAATAAACCCCCTTTAACGCATCTAGAGCCCACAGTTTTCCCATTTACCTAAACTTTAAGAGAAGAAGTTGGCCTGCTATGCTGGATGAAACCTCTTTTAGCCTTTGATGGCACCATCAAGTGGAATTATGAGGATTAGACAAGATACTGCAGATAGTTTAATATAGATCCTGTACGTAATAAGTGTACGATGTCCATTGTGGTTACTGTTACTGCTACTGTTATACTGGAAACCTATCTCTGAAAAATTCTGGAAGCATCCATTACCTAAAATCAGAGTTTTATACTTTACGTTTGGAACTCGATGGTGACTTTTTCCATACTTGATCCTTTGGGTATCTTCACGTTCCAGTCATTGGAAAAACGACCACAAATGGTCACTCTCATGCCAAGATCTTCATTCTGTAAGATATAGGACAAGCTTAGAACTCAGAGCGCAGACATCTTTTCAACATGGGTAGTTACATTCTCTTTCTCTAAACTGCCCAGTAGTTTCAAGTGGAATCAAGTCCAACTCTCCTGCCTGATTATGGAACGGGGTTGGCAGCAGGGTATGGAAAAATGTATATGAGTCTGATGAGAAGTGATCCCCTTTAAGGACCCTTCTTATAGCTTCTCAGAGAGTTTGTGGAGGGTTCTGGGAGCCTGATGGAAGGAAGATGCCATGGAAACATGACATGTTATTGCTGGTGCTGTCTTGCAGCATTGCTGGTGACCTCAGCCACTGACTGAGAAACTAGAGTCTTTTGCTTGGGTTCTATCAGGTTCTCCAGGAGCTGTTGCGTGAGTGTTGATTTGCAACCTATCAATAAGAAAAGCAGTAGAGGAAGTTATTTTGAATTTCAACTATTTTTCAGCAAACTGGTTTTGGAGGTCATTTAGAAATAGGCAATACTGAGAAAACACAGGTTGATAAGTAACTGGGAACAATTCTGCTAGCCCAGCACTCTCCACTGTGAATGCAGAAACTCTCCTTATCTAATGAAGATAAAACTGGTTCCCACTCAGTTTCTTTAAAGGGACATTTCAATAACCAAAGAAATCAGATCATTTGAGCAGTTTGCTTTGCTTTTTCTGTGAAAATGTGACCTTAAGTTTTATTCATTTCAAGTCACTCAAAACATTTTTGGGGAGTCTACTATGTGTAAGATACATGTATGCCTGTCCTCACAGAGCTTCTAATCTTGGCATCAACTCTGTAACCACATGATCAATTAATCAATCAATCAGTGAATAATGCTTTTCCATGAAGGAAGAGTGTGGGTCACCTTGAAGAGTATCATAAGGGCATTTACTTTACTTGGGGAGCTTAATGTGGGATCCTCTGTGGATGGGGCATTTAAGGGAATGGGGTTCTCAAGAGACCTAGCATAGACCAAAGAGGGTTCATAGCGAGTTAGGATTCCAGCAGAGACCAGGGTTGTGAATGACAGTAGAGCAGAGCCTTTTGAGGAAGGGGTTGTTAGCCACATTTAATATTTAAGTAAGCCAGAGAGACGAGAACTGCACATAGGTCATTGGACAATGTGGCAGCATTTTCCAAGCTTGACAATATTAACATTTGGGGCTGAATAAGCCTTTTTTGGGGCAGCAGCTGTGTATTACAGGATGCTTAACAGCATCTCTGACCTCTACCTGCTAGATCCCAGTAGCACTTGCCAGTTGTGAAAACCAAAGACGTCTTCAGGCATTGCTCAGTGTCCCACGTTGCCCCAGGTTGAGAATGACTGCCCAATGGCTTGCATTGTGGCTTTAGCCTTCTTTCGTTTTGGGTCCCTTCCCTTTTAGGGGGTCACCTACTTCTTCTTACTGATGCTCTCCCACTCTATTTTATGTATTGCTATAAGCCATCTTTCATCCTTTTCGGAATCAAGTAGTGTATAAATAAATAAATGCCACAGACATGTGGTCACTGGTGTCAGACACTGTTTGAGCTGGGACAGTGAGCGGCCTGAGCAGAGGCTGTTGGGTTTGGCAGTGGGTACCTGCCGGCGACCTATGAGAGAGGAGTCAGGGTGGGGGCCATGTTGGAAGGGATTATGAGTGAGTGGGTGGTGAGGAAGTGGAGGTGGCCAGCATAGAGGCTTCTTTCAAGAGCAGCAGGGAGTGACGGGAAGCGGAGTGATATAATGGTAGCCTGAGAAGGAAGCAGCTTGAGAGAGGTTCTTTTTTAAATTAAAGGCTAGCCAGGCTAGATTTAGTCAAGGCCAAGGAGGAGTGAGCTGGCTTGAAGGACCACAACTGAAGCACCAGTCCCTGGGAAGATACAGGGAGTAGAGGATCTTTGAGACGGGAGGGAACGGAAATGGAATCTTTTGATGAAGTTACATCAGATTCTGAGGTGGAAGTGATAATAAAGGTTGAAAGGGGTGCATTTCGAATGACCTTGAACTTCTCAGTGAAGGAGCAGGTAATTAAGAAGGCTGAATGGACTGAAAAGGTTGGACAAACATGAGAAATGAGGATTTACGTAGTTTCTTGGTTTTAAGGTAAAATCCCAACTCTCTCCTCTCAGTGCCCTGCCAAATTTAAATGTAAAGATGCATCTAAAACTTGGTGTCTCGATTTAATGTGGGGGTGTTCCTTTTTCTTGACAAGCTGTTATAAAAACATGTGCATCTTTCCACGGAAGAGGTGTTAGAATTGAGGAAATGTTGTAGTTGCCCAGTGATTCCAAGGGTCTCCTGGTAGGGAGCTGGGAAACCACAGTGGAGTCAGCTGTGATCACGGCACCTACTTTAGTGACATTCCGTAGCCTGGGAACCTGCATGGAGAAGGCAGCGTGGCTGGGAATTGGAGAGGGAAGTAGACATGAATTAGCAGTGCCTGTGCCGCATTGGGGATGATGGAAGGATTTTCCTCCCTCATTCCCTCATTGGAAAGAACTTTGCTCTATTAGGAATGGCCTATAGTACCTGAGAGGTTTTTTTGGGTTACAGCTCCTTATACGTTAGCTTTGTCCCTAAAGTAAAGAGCAACAAGCTTCTGTTCCTCTTTCTGATCTCACACAGTCCAATGCGAATTTCGCTGTCCCTTTGCCCTCTGCATTCACCATGTTTTAGGTTCCAGCGGCCTCTTCCAGCTCTGTCTCTGTTGCAGACTGTACATTCTCGTTATTTATAATTTGCTGCTGTTTCCCTACCAAATTAAAAAAGAAAGCACAGATGTCTTATATTGTGTCTTTTGAAAAGTAATTACAGTTAATGTGGTTAATATGAGATGTTATGGAAATTATTGTTATTATTTAATAAGTATTCTGGTTAATATTCTATTTTAGGCTATTATTATATGGAGCCAAAAAATGGCGTACAAGTACAAAATGAAGGATATTACCATGTTGTTTGTTGATTATATACATCACAGACAGAATTATAATAAGGCTTTTGACAGAAAGACTAAGAAATTTCACCTGTGTCTTTAAACCACACATGGTAGTGTCACATATTTGATGTAGTCATTCTAAGGTGTTAACGAAGACCAAGAAAATAGATGAACCTGCAGCAAAAGCCCACATATCATTATAAATCAGACTTCTATGTATGCAGAAATCTGACATAATTACTCTGCTTTGAAAATTTTGTACTCTCCAATTTATGTGGTACAAATGACAAATAATAAGTGATAGTTATTTGAAGAACTACTTTTAGGTTATTCCAGAGGATTTAACCCTGTGAATTCCCTCATTCTCATGAACACACCATACTATTTGCAGACAAGCATTCTACCGTAGTCTGTGATGATGATTGAAATTTCCAAGTATTATCCTGAGGAACTGGGAAGCTCTGAAAGAGTTTCTGAATTGCCAAAGGTTCGGAAATGTTCAGCAGAGTTTATTGTCTTTTGTTGTATTTTCTTTGACTTTGATAAAGCCGATACTCTGTTAAGTTCAGTTATTAAAACATACCAGTCTGAGTCAATACAGGCTAGGATCTCCTACAATAACAAATTACCCCAAAGGTTTAATGGCTTAAAATAACAAAGGCTTATTTCAGTTGCCCACGCATACATTTCTATTGTGGATTGGCAGGATGTTCTTCATAAGCCTTCAGAATTCAGAAATGGCCTTCATAATCCCTCAGAAACTAGGATGATTGAGGGGCCACTATTTCTAATAGTGTGAATCGCCATGCTACCTGGGAGAGAGATGGGGGATTTCTAGAGGGTCTTGCTCACATCTAGGTGACATGATGCTCACATCTGGATGACATGACACTTCCATTCATGACGCAATGGGCAGAACTAGTTATATGACCTGACTCAACCACAAGAGGGCCAGTAAATACTATCCAACCATGTGACCAGATGTCAGGCAGCTGAAAATATTGACGAGCAGCATTTTGACAACCATAATATCATTCTTTGAAAAAGAAAAGTAAAATTTTGGTTGTCTACACCGCACAGAGTATAGAATACCAAAAATAATTTGTCATGTTACTATAAATCATATGTATAATTATAAAAAATCAGATAATGAGTGTGCAAGGTCTTTGTAAACAGAAACATACTATACAAATGTCACGGTGTACATTTTTAGATATATATTTCAAATAATTAAGCAAGCCATGTAACTCTTTCCCAAAGTTTGACGTGAATCAACATTCTTTTCCTACTTCATGCATTTTTCTTGCTTTTCATTAATCTATCGATGATGTCTAGCATACTTAACATGACTTAGACTTAATTTTACATATTATGTAGAACAGGAACAACTAGAGAAAAATTCCAAATAGTTTTGCAAAACTTCGGTGCTACTTACTACATCTACTTTCTTATTTTGGTACAAGTAAATAGGTAGAAATGGGGGAGCTTTACTTCTGTTGTGCTGCCATTATTAGTTATTGTTGTGATCATCAATAAACATACATTTAATCATCCCCTTATTCTTTAAATCATATTTCCTTCATATATATTTATTACGTTAATACTTTCAATATTACTTATTTACCTTTTTCTGATTTATCCTTTAACTAAACACAAATTTAAAGTCTACCCTTAGATGCAAACCTGTAGTTCCTAAAGAAACATCTAGTTTACTGATGACTCATCCCAGTTGGTTATATTGAAGGTTTTATTATTACGTCTAAGAATAAAAGGCCTTTAAAAGGAATTCCCAGGGAAGGTATGGGGAGTCAGAGAATGACGGAAGGCAGAGATCTTTTACGTCTTACTAGAATTCAGCCAGAGTTTTCTACAAAATAGTTAAGGCCCTGGTTAGCTATAATGGAAGTAACAATGCATATATTTGGGTGAAATTCAAAGGAACATCCCAGCACATTTGCTCACATGAAGTCATCTGTCATGTTAGTTAACTCATGCTTTCACACTTTTTCAGAACTGGCTTTTTGTTTTGCCTGTCACATTTGCAGTGCTGAATAAATCTTTTCTCTATGATGGCAAATATATACTACAAAACTGAATGGCTTCTCTCCTCTCCCTTTTTTTTTTTTCCTATTTGTCTGACAGCGCTTCCCAACAGAGGACCACCTGATGATTCATAGGCACAAGCATGAAATGACTTTGAAGTTTCCCTCAATAAAAACAGACAATATGTTATCAGGTAAGAAGCCATCAGGCAAAGAGGCTTTGGGTAATCAGCCACCAAGACTTGTTTTACTTACGATAGGATGATTTCCACTCACAGATTCCATGCCTTGAAAGTATACATTTCTAAGGTATAGCAGAGACTTAAAATAATGGTAAGCAGAAATGTAATCTGTGAATGTAGTGTTCACTCAAATAACTGAAGAGCTGTGACTTTTCATTTTCTGGAATGTAAATATTTACTACTCTGAAACTTGGCTCCATGTACGTATTTTTCAAAAGCACATACCTGTAATCACTCGAGAAACAAATATTAATTGAGCGTCTGTAGCACACACTGCACAGTTCTGAGTGCCGTGCAAGGTGCCAAGATTGATGATCCCTGTTCTCGAGGACATCACAGTACAGCTTGCATGTGAAAACAGTTAACATGGAGGACTGTCCATGATATACGGGTCTTTTCTGAATTAGATTTTTTGACTTTATGATGGCATGAAAACGATATGCATTCAGTAGAATTTTGCACTGAATTTTGATTTTGTACTTTGAATTTTGATCTTTTCCTGGGATGGTGGTGCACCATGCAACACTCTCTCGTGATGCTGGACAGTGGCTGCAAGCTGCAGCTCCCAGTCAGGTATGAAATCATGAGGGTATACAAACAGTCCTCTACAGTGTGCTGTGTTGCCAGCATATTTGGACATTGTGTTTTGTTTTCACCACCCATCATGTCTGCAAAACGTCCATCTATATCTCCTGCTTCTGGTGAGAAGAGGAGGAGGAAGGCAATGGCTCTTGAGGTGAGACTCAATGTAATGGCCCAGCTGTAGGCTAATGGGAGTGTTCTGAGGATGTGTAAGGTGGGTGAGGCTAAACTATGATGTGCGGTAGGTCAGGAGTATTAAATACATTTTCGACTTACCATATTTTCCACTTATAATGGGTTTATCCTGAAGTAACACCATTGTAGGTAAAGGAGCATCTGCATATTAAATGAGTATCATAAGGAAAAATATGTGTGTTATGTGACTTTAGTTGAAGGAGATCTCTTTCTGGATTGAGATGTCCCGTGAAGGTTTCTTTAAGAAACAGTACCCACTCATAAGTGGGAGATTAAATGAGACAATGCATGAAAATTTAGCAAGTGCTTAGCAAATGTGAGCAGAAATAAATAACAATAATAATTAATCCATCAGTTAATTACCATTCCTTTTCATTTTGAGAGGTGGTGTGATAAATTAGAAAGCATGTAGGGCCAGGAGTGAGGAAAGTTGAACTCTAGCCTGGGCTCTGCCTTCACCAGTTATCTAACCTTGAGCAAGTTAATGAACCCTTCTGGGCCTTGGTTTCTTTTTGCATATAATGGGAATGATTTTATCTGGCCAGTCTATTTCACAGGCATATTGTGACGATCCAGTGAAAGAATCTAACTGAAAGTATTTCTCATAAGCCCTAGCAGGGTAATTGAAGCATTTCCTGGTACTGTACTTAGGCTAGAAGTATTTCACCCAAACCCTGGTCTGTGTGGCATGGCGAAAGAGATAATACACCCATGAACATGTTATAGTGATATCGGAAGAGAAACGGGCTGCTCTGGCAGGCCTGGCTCATACAATTTAGCATTTCTATGGCACTTAAAATTTACAAGTATTTTATTATCCCTATTATTAGTAAATCCTCTAAGAGTTTTCTCAGACAGATTATTATTACAACTCATATTTTACTGATAGAGGAGGAGGGGCACAGGGAGATACAGCAGATTTCCCCAAGCCCAGCAAACAGGGCAAAGATGAGGGCCCTTGTCCAGCAATCCTAACCCACTGCCTCTTACTGGCCACTGCATGGTCAGGCTTTCCCAGTTCATATCCATGATCAGATACTCCTGGTGACAGCTGTCCACACAGCTTCATAAACTCTCCAGTGGCTTGTTAACTGTGTACATGCATTACTGTGTTTGGGAAGGCAGCCTCCTCTCATCCCTTCACCACCACCCACTACCTCTCTGTCAGCCTGTTTTTATTGAACTAGTTGCCTCTTCAGAAGTAGTCGCTTTGTCCCGTTAAGTCTAGAAACAGAGATGCAGAAGCTCCAATGTGTAAGAATTATAAAAGCCTTGAAGGGTTACAGAGAACCGTCTGTTCTTTTGTTTTCATCATTGGTAATGTTCTATAGAGTCACCCGTGGTATAACCTCCTGGTTCAACAATGAAACAATGAACCTGTATATGCAAGTAGCAAGGCTACTCCCAGTATTTAAATTCATGAGTTCTTCCTTTATTTTTCCCAAATAGGATCCCTCAAGTAGACTGCCTGGTAGTAGGGGAGTGGGAGGTGAGTATTAGGGAGTAGTAATGTGGAGATATTAGTACTATAGTGTTAAGTACTGGTGTAGTATTTTACAAGCACATTGCTAGGATAGCCCTAGGAGGAGTCCAATCTGAGGTCTGAAAAAAGATGTGTGAGCACTTCTATATAATGTCTATAAACAAGCTTTTAAAGTTCTTGCAGCCTTTCGATTGTTCTTATGACATCCTTGTTATTTGGAGGCTGTTGCTGCCAGTAATTGGAAGTGCCAGGTGGAAAAATTATTGGGAGAAAAGTCACTCTAATTTTTATTATGTCCAAGTTGGAATCATAAAATGAAGGGAGAAATAAATATGAGGGAAAACAGCATGAATAACATCTTGGCATCTTTTCTTTTGCTTCCTCATGCTTTATGTTGAAGCTGGTATGAGGCCATTTCATATTGCCAAAGAAATTAAGTGCTAAATTTTAACCTTGCTACCCTCTCTGCATGTTCATAGTCTCACAATTTTCTTGCTGGAATGGAATACAGAGCTATCCATTCAAGTTCTATTACTTTGCATTTAGGGGACTGAGGCCTACTACATTTCATAGGCCAATGTTGTCCATAATGAATTGCAATAGGCTATCTATTGGCTATTTTTGCTTTGCTATATGTTTTTTTTTTCCAGGAAGGACTTTAATATGTATTTATCTCAAATCTCATTTTAGTTTTAGCATGTTAGATTATGATTGCAAATATCACTGAAGTTTTTACTTGTCTATATCTTGATTTATTTAGATTTGGATTTATCAAAAGCTTCAGAATCTACTTTTATTAAAAATAGGTTCATTAAAATTTTATTTATTAATGCACTTTAAGCCTATGTTGTGGCCTGTCAGAAAGATGAATGATTTTATATAATTCAAAAT